CAACTCCTGCAAACTAGTCAAGATTCCTTTTGCCCTATCAGATATAACACATACATCTTTGTCAACTTTTTATTACATGTGCACTCAAATTTCTCAAAAACCACTTCCATGCCTCTTTTGACTCTTTGTCTACAATAGCAAACGCTAAAGGAAGAATGTTATCAGTTCCATCAACTCCAACAACAATTAATAATTTGATCTCATACTTTCCATAAATATGAGTTCCATCTACTGAAATAGCAGGGCGACATGTTTGGAATCCATCTATGCATATCTTGAAATCCCAAAATACAAATCATAGACTCTTCGTGTTTCCATTCCACAATTGTTCCATGGTTAAAGTGTTGAAAAGCTGCAAAAAATTTAGGTAGGTCACTAAATGATTTCTCAAAGTCACCATACACCAATTCAAATGCGCGTTGACATCCAAGCCACGCTTTTCTGTATGTTACCTGATGATCAAATTTTTCATGAACCTTTGAAATGACATCTACCACCAAGTACTTAGGATTTTTTCTAATTTGATTTAGAAACAGTGATGCAATCAAATTGGTATTTAGATTGGCGTGACCACTAGAAAGCCCTTCAGTCTCACATCTATGATTTTCAACATATTTTCCTATCTTCCAAAGGTTATCTCCAACTTTTCGACCTCAAAGAAACCACAAGCAACCCAATAAACTATAAAACTTACATCTCACAACCCATAGACTCTTGGTAGATGTTACCACCTTGAACTCCTTATTTTTGTGCAACCTCAAATTCATTACCGCCCGTTTCAACTTTTCTTTACTACTAAAAAACATACCTTTTTTCAAATCCTTTTTTTGCTTCCTCAGACCAAACTGAACAATATTCCATCTCAGATTCACATGTAGACATGAAAATGTCTTCCTCATTCTCTAATGTCCTGAAATAGGGTATGTCATGATTTTGTATTTCAGACACGCCTTGTTTATGATTATGAAGATTTACACCATTCTGAGAAAAATCTCTAATATCATCGATATCTTCATCAGGTTCACTTTCATCACCATCTTTTGGAGGTTCATCTTCCTCCGAACTTTCATCACTAATTTCAGCATTTACATCATTATATAGATCAACGTTGGTCTCATTATCTCTGTAAAAAAATATTAGTTAAATTCTAGCAAAATTATAAATATAGAAGCTTGTTTTAAAAGCGATAATTTATACTCTAAAAGGTTATTTCTTCTATCAATAAGAGATAATTTATGTATACTGACAATAAAATTATCTTATTAAATTGTTACACTAAAATTCAGTAAAATATAGATTTGTTGTTTTACCTGGCCTCATAATCTCTGTGACTATTATCAATATGCATTTGACTACTTGACCCTTCACCAAATGATCGATGACCATGCATCGACAATTGTTGGAATGGTGGTTGAACAATCGGTTCTACAAAATGAGGTTGATTGGCCGTGGTAAAGCCATAATTTTGAGCCAATAAATTCATGTGATAACCATGATGACCACTAACTTGAAACAACATTTTTATATGTTGATTTGGACTTTACATACATCTCCAAAACATTTATATCAATCTTATCTGCAAATTTTTGAGGTATGAAAAGGAATTGTAACAAAGATTGGTCATTCTCAATTTTAAACTCAATGAACCTTGTATTGTTACCTTGAATTGAACATGGATATTTTTCAGAAATATCCATATGAATATTTTCACTGTTTGTTCCCATTTTCTCATTTAACAATCCAACCAATTCAACACAGTTAGTTGAGGTAGACATGCTAATAATCATTCTAGCACATTCAGCATACCTAAATCCGTTCATATCCGTAATTATTTCACTACCTCAATACAAAGCAACCATCACATTATGTTCAAAGCTTGTCATCTTTATCCTACACATAAAAATAAGATTTTAAAAAAAAAAAAATTAATAAATTAGAAAAATAATTTTAAAGCTATAGTAAGAACTTAACATAATATGATAAATTTGACTTATTTAATTCATACCTGATGAAGTTTTGTGAATATTATTTTAACAATGGGCAACACAAGTGAAAGTTTTGATGAATATTGTTGGAATATGCAAAACATTCCTTACAACAACATTTATTTTATAATCACATGTGGTCAGTTTGAAAAATGGGGGAATATGACTTTAAACAGAGTGTTGTAACTAACAGTCACGTTTTTAAGGTAAAACGTTACTCATAGTAACGTTTTATAGCTAAATTTGCAGGATTCGATTCTAAATTTGTAGGAGTCGAAGGGCCGTGATTGGATTCTTTAGAACGTTACTATGAGTAACGTTTTAAATTTGCAGGATTTGATTATGAATTTACAGGATTGGATGTGATTGGATTCTCAATAAACATTATTGTGAGTAACGTTTTAAATTTGCAGGATTTGATTATGAATTTACAGGATTGGATGTGATTGGATTCTCAATAAATGTTATTGTGAGTAACGTTTTACACCTAAAACGTTACTCACAGTAACGTTTATTCAGTTAATGTCGTCAGATCCGTCAACTTTTGTCCGTTGAATTTTTAAAATAAAAAAACCTAAAATGTTACTATGAAGTACGTTTATACTACTTTTGTAAAAAATTTAAAAAACGTATTAGTTAGGTGAATTGGTTTTAAAAATAGCTTACTTTGGTAAAAAAATTCAGGGGTTTCTGCTAGATATGTGACCTTAAATCTATTACAACTTTGACGGAATGTTTTCAGTCTTTCTCAGAAGCCTCTAGATCGGAAGCAAATATGGGGAAATGCTCTATTTATTTTGGAGGAATCTCAAGCACTGAAGGTGGGGAAATGCTCTATTCCATTTGGCATTCGATCTTATTAGTCTCAACTCTTCCTCATTCCAACAAAGGTGTTTAATCTCATTGACTCTTATAGCGGGAGCTTTCTATGGTCAGGTACTAATACCATTATCAAAAAAACCTTAATTGCTTGGGAAAGAATATGTGCCCCAAAATCCATAAAATTAGTGTACGTGATATGGATCGAAAGGAATAAGAGGATTTTTGAAAACAAAGATACAGAGTGATGAACTTGCAAAGGAGATAGCCTACATTTGTAATTTGAGAGTCACGTTAAGGATCAAAGCAAAACTACATCTCACGTTCTAGTTTATAGTTTAGATTTTTTAGCTGCTTCATCTGAGTTTAATCTCTTGAGATAACAATATGAGTTAGTATTGCTATGGTCTTGTAATGTCTTACATTGGTGATTAATGGAAAAGTTAGTTATCAAAAATAGGGTATATGTGAGTCATTTGTATAATAACATGGGTATATATGAGCCACTTTCATAACGAGGGACATATCAACTCTAAATAGCAAAATTGATAGATATATTAGGCCCTTTTCCCAATATTTAATTTAAAATTTTAAAAAAATAAAATAAAATGCAGAGCCTGACATTAATTATATATAAAGAATAAATTATTGTAGGTACATTTGTAAAAAAAAAAAATGTTTATTAAGGAGAAATTAAATGTATGAACAAAATTTTGTCATTGATATCGGAAGTCAAAATTATGCCCGTACACACTAAATAATAAAATAAAGAAAAAATGAACTACATTATATATGAACAAAATAATATAAAACAACTATTCATAACAAATTAATAATAACATAAAGGATTATTATAAAGTAAAAGATAACAATCTGAAGTTGCGATGAAACAAAGCTAAAGCCTTGTTTGTTTTCTGTCACACCCCAAACTAGAGGGGGCGCAATTGACATTTGAGACCGTATTTGATCAAGTTATCTACTGAAACATACTAGCTAACTAAACTGTGGGCCCAAGAAGTCATACAGTACAACATCTGAAATATTAAGTCTTGATTGTTAAGGTCAAAACATAAGCAACAATAATTCATATGAACAAAGGTAGCTGAGCCATAACTTGGCTTCAAAATGAAGCTCTTTTCTAGATATTTCACCACCTAGAGTGGCTATGTTGAGCATGATTTAGAGAGGGCGGAGAGTAAGGAAAAATAGTGATGGTTTGAGATTGAAGAAGAAATAGAGAGGTGGAAGAGGTAGATGGCAGGGACTTCTAGCTAAGACCATATCAAATCTTCACATTTTCTTAGAGAGGTGGAAGAGGTAGATGGCAGGGGCTTCTAGCTAATACCATATCAAATCACACATACAAGTACACACCAACTTTTAAAGAAAGTTTATTTTCTATTCTTACTTTATATATCCCCTATTTTACACAATTATATAGGTATGAGGATACAATAAAAAAAATTAGTGAAGAGAAATTGGGATAAGGTAATTCCTTCAAGTAGAGGTGATCCAATACTATGCACTCTAAGAATAGAGACAAATTTGCACACAATGAAACAACCATTACATTAAACTGAAGAAATACTATAGTACAAATGTTTATCCATCCTTATTCCATAAACCACATAAAAACGAAAGGGCATTCACAGGGAGGGAGTTAACAAGAAAATTAAATGACACACAATGACTTTGCCATATCAATCATTGTACATGCTAACATTTGGCCTTGGTTCAAAAGACTTTTCTCCTTTAAGACTGACTTCATCATCACGGTAAGAAGTTGCAGTTGGCCTTGGTTCAAAATCTTTAGTAAATGATGATTTTTCTTGTTTGAGACCAACATCATCATGATGGTAAGCAGTTGCACTCGGCCTTGGTTCAAAAGACTTTTCTCCTTTAAGACTGACTTCATTATCATTATCATGGTAAGAAGTTGCAGTTGGCCTTGGTTCAAAAGACTTTTCTTGTTTGAGACTAGCATCATCATGATAATAAGCAGTTAAAGTTGGCCTTGGCTCGAAAGGAACGTCATACCGAGGCATAAGATGCTTGATTGCTATAGGCATGGGTTCATTTTTCATCACAATATTCCAATATTCTCCAGGGTCTCTTCTTGCATCTGTGCTGCTAGCATACTGCACAAAAATGACAGACAATAAAATGTTTGTTGAATTCTATGTTACATGGTTACATGTTCATTCATTTTTTATTACTAATACATAGAGGGTCAGTTGGTTATTTGACCAATTTGCTATTCTATTTTAACTTCATTTTAATTTATTTGTTTTGTTTTGTTTTGTATATGTTATTTATTTAAAAATTATAAAAAATAGTATTATAAATTACAATAATATTTTAAAAAATATATTAAAAAATAGAACAAATCACAAAAATTTTCTTGTGCAACATGAATTGGGATGTAGGGAATAACATATATTAGTTGAAAATTATATAAAAAGTACTATAATTTACAATAATTAACTACTTAAAATATTTAAAAATCATATAAAAATTCAGTTGACTTTTCTAATTTTATGTGTGCCACATAAATTAAGACACATAAGATAAAATATATTAAACCTATGCAAGCACATAGTATTGTATCTAGTATACAATTATGCATAAACATTTGGTATGGGTATACATAGATTTTTTTTGGGTAGAGTATTTATATTTTTGAAAAAATTAGTTTTAAATTTATATTTTTGACTTTTAATTTTTTTTTTAAATTCATGTAGGATACATATGATCTTTCTAGCAAAGTTCAAGGTATATTTTAATTTTTTCATACATCAATCGTTTTTTGACTTCTTTGATTATCATTATTTGAGTTTCTTATTCTTATTTTATTTTTTTCTTTCATTCCTTAGTGTAAAGAAAAAAAACTAATTTTTTGTGGCTATATTATAATTTAAAATTATTTGTTTCGACTATATTGTTGCTTTAGTTTTTGTATTTGAAAAAAGGGAAAAAGACAAATATACCCCCGAACTATTGTAAATGGTATGCAGATACCCTCCGTCATACTTTTGGGGCATTGGTGCCCCTGCCGTCCAAAAACTAGAGCATATATGCCCTTCACTCTAACGGACGACTAAATAGGAACACGTGACACATTCTTATCCGTTGATCCGATATTTAATAAATGTCGGGTCGGTGGATAAGATTATGACACATGTATGTCCGTTTGTATAAAGGGTATATATGTTCTAGTTTTTGAACGGCGGGGGAACCAATGCCTAAAAGTGTGACAGAGGATATCTACATACCATTTACAATAGTTCGGGGGGTATATTTGTCATTTTTCCCTTGAAAAAAAATTTGGGTCATCTATAATAAATTTTACAAGAAAATTAGTGAACATAAATAAATTTGCCCAGCAAAGTAATAAATTTAATTAGTCATTGGAACAAAAAAAAAGTCAAAAAAATATGTGTGAGGAGGATTAAATATACCCATATGGGATTATATTTTTTTTAAAAATAATTAAAATTAATTTTTTCACTTCTGTTAGAGAAAAATGATATATGTGAGACATTTGTATAACAGTAGGCATGTATATATGAACCATTTTCATAATGAGTGGTATATTAGCTCTAAATAGAAAAAAATTAAGGGTATATCCTAACCCCTTTTCTCATGATATTGAATAGAAGAGTTTATGTTTTATGCATCGTTAATATACTAATTTTTTTTAGATATTGGGTAATTTTGTTTTGATTTGTTTACTTCTGTTATTTTCTTGAGTTGATGAAGTACCGAAAAAACATCTTAACCTCTCAAAGTAAAGATAAGATCTACACACATACTATCTTCTCTAGACCCCACTAATTGTTGGATTTCGTTGGATATATTATTGTATTAGGTACGTTGCTAAAAAATCACTATTTTTCTATTAAAAATTTTCAATGAAAAATATTCAGTGGTCATTTCCACTTATATTTCGATTGAATCAGTGAGAAAATAATAATAATAATAATAATAAGGAAATAATGTTTTCACAAGCAAAAATTAGAAAGTTTCCAACTCTTCCGGTGTGAATTTGTTTCTCACCATGTGTTTTTTCAGTAAATTGATTTGATGGAATATAGATGAAGAAAACCATATTTTATAACACCAAAAACAAAATTCTCATTGATTTGTGATGAAAAAAGTCTCTATTTCTAATAGTGATAGAATTTCTTTGATAACCAACATTAAATAGAGTTACATACAATAATAGAAACTAATTGTTTAAATACTTTTGTGCATTGTATAGAATTTAACTTACCAAGGCAAGTGGAATGAGGAGGATGAGAGCAAAAAGTGATTTCATGTCTTCAAGAGAGGTACAATTCATATGCTTTTGCTATTGATATTTGCTTGGTGCATGGATAATAAAATCCTAGAGTTTATATAGACAAGTTTGGCAAATACAAAACAATATAATAACAATAATAGTAGTAGTATCTTTTATAAAACAATAATAGTTATTATTATAATTTATAATAATTGATAATAATAATAATTATAATTATAATAATTATTATTATAATTATTACTATTATAAAAAAACAAGTTGGCTCATCCTTATCCTATCATCAATCAATCATATAAAAACATAATTAGAAGAAGTATAGGATGACCAAGAGGGCCCTCTTCGCTTCTCCATAATTCGTGGTTCATGTGAAGAAAATTATTCTACAATAAAAATGTTTTTCCTCAAAACCGCACGCTTTAAAATAATTGAAAGTAAATATACATAGTCAAATAGCACATGGAGTAAAACTGAAATTATTTTAAAAGATAAAAAATAAATTGAAGCGCTAATGATTCTAAATACTTGAAGAATTATGTATAATAAAAAAATGAATTTAATAAAAATTAAATGTTAATTCTTTTAAAGATTGAAAGTTGTTAGGACACCATTGATAAGGATTGATTGGCAGGAGACTATATGGCTTTCAATATGCCGCAAAAAAACCTCTATCAGTTAGAGGTAAAATTTGTACTCCGATATCGATGAATTTCAAAACACTATTTCAGACTCTTCCCGATACAGAAGGGGCCTTCTTTAGTATTAGTAGCTCATCCTTCAAAATGAAGCTCCCCTCTAATTTAGGTTGGGATGATGGATCCTCAACCCTACCCCTAGCAAGTCAACTCAGTTCCCATTAAAAAAATAGGATAGTTTCAATAGCCGCAAGTTCTTAGTTCCTAAGGCCTGTGCCCCATGGAATGGGCAGAGATAGGGAGTGACTCGCAGATTTCTATTCTTATGGCTCCACCTACTAAACTCGTTCAAATATAATCGTATTTGACCTTGATCAATAACCATTGAAAAAAAAAAGAGAAGAGAAAGCACAAGTTGCTAATTAGAATAAAAAACAGAGCAAACATAGAAGCAAATGCGATCAATTTATATAATATTAAAATAATCACTCTAATTTTATATTTTTTAAAAATATATAAAATATAATTTTAATTTTATATACATAATTCTTCAAGCAATTAGAATCACCACCCCTTTAATTTATTTTATATATTTTCAAATAATCATTTTGTTTAATAGTTAACTTTTTTCAACTTAAGGACCAAAACCGCACACTTAAAATAATTGAAGATTAATGTGCACAGTCAACACAAGGACTAAAATAGAATTGTGCAATAACATGGACTAAAATTGCTATTTCATATGGACTAAAATTGCTATTTCAAGGAGCTATAATGCTATGTTGGGCAGCAAAGCAGACTAAATATTGCAGAACTCATATGGACTGCACTTTCACAACCAAAACATCGATTTATTGTATGGTTGGCTGTACAAGGAAGACTGCTTACAAAAGAAAGATTAAAGCATCTCACTATTTCAGTGGAAGATATTACATGTTGTTTTTGTGCAAGTCAATTTCTATAGACTCAGTTACACATCTTCGCATAATGCACTTGGATAAAGACATTGCGAGATGACATCCAACAGTGGGTAGGACTAACCATACTTAAGGGTGAAGTTAAGAAAATGTTGGAAGACATAAAGAGGAAGAACCAGAAGCATTCCAAAGGAAGTGATCGCAACTATTTGGAGAGCAATGAAGAACTGAAATTTTTTTAGAGGATTATCGGTGAATACTAATATTGTGTTAGTACAGATTAAGAAAGAAGTTATAGAGAGATTATATTTACTTAAAGGATCTAGGAAAGCTAGCAACAGTCAAAGGTTGATAACCAAGTTACTTAGTGTCTACTTTTTTTTGTTATTTTTGGGTAGTTGGAAACCTATGCATCTTAATACTCTTCCTAGAAGGTGGCTAAGATGATACGTGACCTTATGGTGTAATGTTCTTTGTTGGTTAATGGTAATTTACAGTTTTTACCAAAAAATTTTTTGCTATTTTTCCTACATAGTTGTAGAAATATAGAGAAGGCTAATGTCTGCTTCTAGTCAAGGATATTTATGTAATTTTTGTATTTTATCATTTGAATTTTTATATTTTATGTTTTTTTATCTTTTAAATATTTGAAAATTATATTTAACAAATACTATAAAAATTATGATAATTAACAATTTAAAATATTTAAATTTTTTTATTGAATCTCAAAAATTTAATCGGTGCCACATAAATTGAAACAAAAGAAATGACATATACTATTTAAAAATGATGTAAAAGAACATATAAATCACAATAATTAGCAACTTGAAATATTTGAAAAACATATAAAAATTTGGTTGATTCTTGAAATTCTATATGCGTCATGTATATTGGGATATAGAGAGTGATATATATTATTTGAAAGTTATGTAAAAAAATATTATAAATCACAATAATTAACAACTACAAATATTTTAAAATTATAATCTTTGGGATGTTTTTCCAAATTTCAACGATATCACATAAATTGAGACTGAAAGAGTAACATATATTGGGCTCATGCTAGCACGGGGTCTCATATCTAGTATATAGTAGAAACTAGTAAACTTGTCTGCGCTTCGCGCGGTTATAGAAGATTAATACAAATAATTTTATCAATATTACTCCTTCTATTTTATATAAAATGAATTTTTAGACATTTTTTCATTGTTTAAAATAATTAAATTGTTCAACGTTCAAGATAAATGTTTGAAATTTTTTCCATATATGTCCTTCCCTTATGGTTTTACATTTTTTCAAACTCTTTGGAATAATGACTATCTTTAATTTTAAAGAATAACTTGGGAATAACCAAAAGGAAAATAGTGGAAAATATAGTTTAATTTATGTCCTTGAATATTTTTCTTAATATAAAGGAAGATGTATTTACAAAATCATTGCTATAACCTTTATTGTTAAAAACTAAAAGAATAAATTTATGAATTCTTTGTATAATCTTCTAAGTTCTTGTTGACATTCACTTTCACAAGCCGATTTATAGGACTACAATATGAAATATCAAATAATGTATAGTGACTATTAATTATTTTAGGGGATTATATATAATAATAATAATAAAAAGTTATTGGAGTAATGAAAATAAAGACCATTAATGTTTACATTAAAAAAAAAATCTATAAAACAACTAATATACTCACATGTTTATCGATATATTGGCTTCATGTTATCAATATTTGCTACAAACTAATCATTGTTTACATATTTTTGATAATAAATTTAGATACTTTTAAATGAGATCAAAGAGTGAGATATACATTTATATAAAATAATTAAAATATTTATATTTATCGATCTAACTTTTTTTTCTCGCGACTTAAATGCTAATTTCTATCTCAAGACTTATATTATGTCATTAGAATATGACATTTGAAAAGATAGCAACAACAGACAACCAAATTAAAACTATAACAATTATATTGTTATTTTCAAATAATGAATGTCCATCAACGTATACGCTTCATTTTGCCTCATTTTGAGAAATGAAATTAAATACCTCATAATTCTTGCAAGTGTTTCAAATTCTTGATTCACTTTCAAATATCTTAATAAAATATATGAAGTCTTCATAAGGTTAAATTCACAATAAATTATGGAAAGAAAGAATAAGAA